TCCATAGCAGTAGTGCTGCCATACCATGCAATGATGCAGCTGGTCAGTATGCTCAATACAATGCAGCTGTAGAACCTGCTGAGGATCTTGGCCAACATACCAAAATTCCTCAGCCTTCTCAGGAAATACAGCTGCTGCAGAGCATTCTTGACCAGCTGTGTGGTGTTCAGTGACCAGGTGAGGTCCTCAGGGATGTAGACGCCCAGGTACCTAAAGCTGCTCACCCTCTCCACTTCAAGGCCCCCTGATAAACAGCGGCTGGTGAGGCCTCCTCTTCTTCCCCGTGTCCACTATTACCTCCTTTGTCTTGTCAGTGTTGAGTGTGAGGTTGTTGTCCTCACACCATGACACCAGACCGGTGTCTCGCCTGTAAGCCGCTTCGTCCCCCCCAGTGATGCGACTGATCACCGCAGTGTTGTCTGCGAACTTCAAAATGATGTTACTTTGTTGGAGGTGACAAAGTCGTGTGTGTACGGGGTGTAGAGGATGAGACTGAGGACGCAACCTTGTGGAATGCCAGCGTTTGTAATAATGCTGGCTTTAGTCCTGTTGCCAATCCTGATGGACTGGGGCCTGCCAGTCAAAGTCCTGTAGCCAGTCACAAGCAGCAAACATTAAAAATAAAATAAAGTCAGATATTTTTTACCAAGTCATCTCTCACATCCCATGATTTTTAAAGCATAAACAACTTGTGCAAAAAGAGTTTCAGTATTAGAAGTTGTAATGCCATCCTTTGTAAAGCATTCTCCTGTACAGTTAATGATAAGGAATTGTGTGTTTTCACATTATCAACAGGGTTAGAGACCTGATACGCTCTGGAGTCATAAAGCCAAAGGAAAAACCTCTCTGGTATGATGTGTACAAGACTTTTCCACCAAAGAGGGCCCCACTTCATGTGAAACCAGTTACCAGCCCTTCTGCTAAGAAACAGGAAACTGTGCCTGAAATCTTCTACAGTGAGGATAAAATTAGAACGTAAGTTCATGGCAACGAAAATAACTTTTTCCCTATATCTGAAGGCTCCTTTATAAATATTGTGAAAACGGCACCTTAGCACACACATAATATACATTTCTGGCTTTATCAGTCTCTCAGATTGATAGCATTCATTTAAAAGTCGGAAGCGGAGCATCTAAGAGACTGGTATTCAGATACTCTATTTGAATTCTTTGAGAATAAGTTTCAGTTCACAGTAACAACATGCAAAGTATTATACTTCATACATTATCCTGAAATGCATGTTACATTATTCCATATGCAACTTGGTCCATGGGCTAGGTTCATTTATAATATTATAATTAAAAATGTATTTCATTTTGATTACATATAGCTCCTTCAAGTGCGAGATGAGCCAGTTCACTGAAGATTGATAAGTCATCAAATTATGCAACAAGAAAGGGGAAAAAAATCACCTGAAACATTGCTAATACCTACTTGTTGCCTTTTGAATGGGCGCTGTAAAAAAAACAACTCTGTTCTGTAAAATAAAATGTTAAATGTCTCGACTGAGAGAGGAGAAATGAATGGTTATTTGTCACAAAATATGAATATGCCATAGGTCCACTTTGTTTCCTAAATAAATAACACTACACAGAAATGGGAGAAATATTCTTCAGATGTTAACCCAGATTTTTTTTCTTATATAAATACAGGAATATAGACAAAATACATGTAGTTTGCATATTCTTCTTCCTTTTTTTTTTTTTCTACCAAAACCATAATTCTGATCAGCACAGAGTGGACACATGTTTTGGGCATTTAGTCTTGGTTTGAAACAATTTTACATTTTAAACAGTGATAACTAAATGTTGATACTAAGTGAAATATTTTTGTAGGCCTCACTAACTTCTAACTTGTGTTGTTTTTGGGTTTTTTTTGTTTGATTTTTGTTTTTGCTAGGGGATTCTATGAGCAGTATGGGAGAGGTTTGCGGGCTCTTGATCTCTCCAAATCAAACTTTGTTTCTACATGTCAGAGGTATGTTTGACTGTGTTCAGAATAGGGCTGGGCGATATGGCCTAAAATCCATATCATACTATAATTTGAAGCATATGCGGTAACGATATATATATCGCGGTATATTATTTTCTTCTGCATAATGTATTTTACACACTATAAGGCACACTTAAAATTCTTTAATTTTCTCAAAAATCGTCAGTGCGCCCTATGTGTGAATTCTGGTTGTGCTTACTGACCTCGAACCAATTTTATGTAGTACATGGCGCGCAGAAATCTGTCAAAAATGCTTTAGTACGACGTGCGGCTTCATAGTAGTAAGCTATGAAGCCGCACCGCTTGATGGATTGCCGGAGCATTACAGCTGCCGTAGTCAGGAGCCTCGCGGAGGAATCTGGGTCCTAAACTCCGTCTAGTTCAGGTCCCAAAGTCAAATGAACACTGCGGCATCACTGAGAGTTAGAAAGTGTCTAAATTCTTTCATCTTTAATAAAATGATCAGCGTTGCTGCTTTACCAGGTATAACAATCAAGTTTAACATCCAGGCATCCATGAAAACAGAATTTATTAAATTCAACGGAGTTAGAAGTTAGCAGGAAGTTAACTCGCTAGTTTCCACCTAAACATGATATAGCATGTTCTGACTGAGAGATTTCTGAAAAAATTAAAAAGTACAGCTCTGCTATCACTTCCAACATAAATGAAGACAGAAAACTAAACAGCAGTGATGTTTTTAGGGTTACTGAAGTTGGGCTAGCTGGTAATGATGTGCTACGTGATCGCTAGCGACACAGCTATGTTAGCATAGCATAAACACAGTGAAGCTGGAGGATGAACGCTAACTTTTTTCCACTCGATAAAAGTTAACGTGAGGGTTTCTGGTGGTTAGGGACAAATGCAATTGCATGGCAGGATGCTATAAACGGACCAAACTTCAGTCAGGAGAACAACTGAGATAATCCATCCACAATACGAGGTTAGTCATTAATATACTGCAACAACATGGGAATAGAGCAGCTGCGAGAGAATTCAGCCTGAATGAATCAATGGTATGGAAGTGGAGGAAGCAAAATTTTTGGCTTTCCCCATCTTCCAAAAGTGCTTCGTCTCTTTGCTATTACTGTCGCCCGGCATAATTTGCAGATGATGATGTTGTTTGTAGCCGCTGCGATGCTTTCGACCCAAATAGCCGCAGCTTGATGACACCATCAACATGCGCTATCGCGGTAGAGCGCTATAATCAAAATCTCTACCGTTGGCCAAATTTATATCGTTTCTACCGTATACCGTTTATACCGCCCACCCCTAGTTCAGAATAACACACACAGTACTCCAGTCTTTCTGAAAACCTTTTAAAATTGTCTCTGGATATTAGATGCTTTTAAACTCATTTTCAATCTATTACTTGCATTTGTGTTTAGCAGTTTATCAATAATCTATGACTCATTCAAGTAGAGCTTGGTGACAAATGGTTCATGCCCAGTAGAAATTCGACATCCATGTTTTGACAGAGAACACAACAAACCAGTGACAATGAAAATAGCACAATGCCAAAGCAATCATGTAGTTGGAATAAAGTTTGATCACATCATGTTAGGTTGATACACAGATCTTAGAAGGGGGGCAGCCACCAGCAGAGCATGTGTTAAAGCTTAGGCTACTGCAGTTGTACACATCAGTACATTGGGAATGTGAGGACAATAAAAGACAAAATGACAACAGAAACTTTTAAGGAATACTTGAGTGACATTACTGAATATGAGACCCCAACAAACAAGGCTCAAAGACAAGGACATTGTTGAAAAGAAGGGTCAGAGGAATTCAGTAGTGTGAAGAACCAGTTTTAGCATACATTGCAACTGTGTCAAAAGCAAATGGAAGTAACGCCATGAATCATTTTTACTACACATACACCTACCATTCGTAAGTTAAGTTAAATCTATGAAAAATGCAACGATAACAGTTTGACAGGCAATTTTCACACTCTTCCTCTTATCTTTTTAATCCCGCAGGTTTGTTGACAAGTACAGAGAGTTAAAAAGCCATGGCATGCTGGATAAGTCCTCTTTGTTTGAAGAGACTGGGAAGGCTTTACTTAAAGAAGGTATCATCCTGAGAAGGCGAGGAGCTCCTCCTGTAAGACTCTTGTTATAATTATTACTTTGGGTTCCTACAAAAATGTTGTTTGCCCTGTTTTGACATGGTCACATTTTTGCGAGCTGCAAACTATGTTATGCCAGTCAGCTAAATTATGTAGTCGTGTGAAAACGAAAGGTTTTTACTAAAGAAAAAGGTGCCAAGTACATCCAAAGATTCATCTAACCAGTCAAAAGTTTGGTCACACCATCTCATTTAATAGTTTTTCTTTATTTTTACCACTTTTACATTTTAGAAACATACTAAAGAAATCAAATATATGAAGCAAGATATATAGAATTATGGAGCAAAGGGGAAAAAAGATAAATAACTCTAAATATATGGTATATTTTAGATTCCTGAAAGTAGCCACTCTTTGTTGGCATTGCTGCAAACCCCTGGCATTTTCTCAATGAGCTTCATGATGTAGTCACCTGAAATGGTTTTCACTTCATAGATGTGCCTTGTCAGTGTTCATTTTTGGAATTTCTTGCCTTCTTAATGGGGTTGGGACCATCAGTTGTGTTGTGCAGAGGTCAGGGTCGTACACAGCTCAGAGCCCTATTTGACAACTGTTAGCTGATTGGTTCTTTCCATAATATGAATTCTAAGTAAAGAGAAATGACAGTCCATCATAACTTTTAAGAACTGAAGGTCAGTCAGTCTGGAAAATTGCTAAAATTTTGAACGTGTCCCCAAGTGCAGTCGCAAAAACCGTCAAGCGCTGGGACAAAACTGGCTCACATAAGGACCGCCCCAGGAAAGGACAACCAAGAGTCACCTCTGCTGCTGAGGATAAATTAATCAGAGTCAAACGTCACTGTCTCATCTGCTGTTCACAATATTAAATGGTGATCTTAAAGAGGTTATGGACAATTTTGTCCATGCTTGGTGGGAAAAGAAATGCTTAGGAGCCCCTGAAATGATACCCAGGAAGTGACTACAAGAAGAGGGTGAAAGATTGTCTGAAGCAGTTACAACAAGACAAAACCCCTTGACCAGACCTCCTACCACAGGCTACACCCAGGGGAAGCTACACCAAGTCTGTATTGTTTACTGAAGAAGGATAAACAGGGTGTGCCTTTAAGACCAATTGTCTGTATGATCAGCTGGGTCACCTATAAAATCACAACGTTTCTGGCTTCGATCCTCAACCCATTGGTAGGCAGCTCTGAACACCACATCCAGAACAGTTTGGATTTTGTTGAGAAGGTGAGAGATGTCACTATGGAGGCAGATTGAACAATGGTCTCACATGTTACATCTCTCTTACTTGTGTTCCATTCAGTGAAGCAGTGGGGATAGTTTGTCAGAGATTATGGGATGACCACTGTCAGCACTGGCCAAGTGTGTTTGCTCTTGGAACTGTGTCTTCATTCCATATAATTCATGTATACGGGTCAATGCTACAGCAGAAAAATGGGTGTGCAATGGGTTCCTGAGTGGGTTCTCCTTGACTCCCTGCTCAAACCAGCGTTCGTCCCTGTTTAGCCAGAGGTTGTTTGGTTTCCCCAATGTCTAAATCATATCAATTCTTCTGGCACTGGCAATGGGGGACCCAATCCTTGGGGTAGACCAATCTTTGGCACAGCGTATTTTGGTGTTTAAAAGCCACTGAAACGCTGTGTTTAGAATAAATGCGTCTTAATTGTTTCAATACTTTTTCTCCTGTGAAAAAGGCCTAACCCAGGGATTTCTCTGGATGAAGGGAAAGTGAGGGGAAGTTAAACTCATTTTTTGTTTCAGAAATGTCTGAAATTATTTTCTTTGACTAGTTCTTGTCATAAATTACTATAGCCACTTTTTCTTAAACCAGCAACTTTGTCAGGTAATGGATTAAATTCATTTTATTCTTCACCTCAAAACTCACCTCGAAGAGGGAAAAAGCTTGCTTGCTTTTTTGCTTTTATTACAAAATAAAAACAAAAATATAAAGAGAGAGAGAGATTACTAATTCACAAGTACAAACAGTTTTGTTTTGATTATTGCATATTATCATTGTGTTGCTTTTATTCTGCAGGTTTTGGCCGAGTCCAGGGATCCTGTGCTTGACCTGAAACTGATAGACATGTTGGCAGAGCAGCAGTCCGCTGGGACTGACACAACGAAGACAACAGAAGATAAAAATTCATAGATCACAGTAGCTCAAGAATCATTTGGTGAACTGCATATTTTCTCTCTTACCAGCTGTTATGATCAATAATTTATTTCTGTTTTTGTTTCTGACACCCAACAATTGTCTGTTTTTAATTTCTTGAAAGCCCATTGCACACTGCACCAGCGGCAGCATGTTGCCATTAAAGATTCAATGGCGCTATAAATCATATGTCAGTGCAGGTGAAAAGTTACAAAAAAAACCCAGAAAATAATGTTATAAGTATTTAGAGGTCTTATGTTGGGCAATAAAACACATTGTTATAACATGTAGAATTGTTGTGAAATTATTGTAATAGTTTTGAACTTTTCTGATCTGAAATTTCCCAAGTTTTTTTTAGTTTTTGTGGTTTGCACCTCATCTATCTTGCCTTCTTGCTGACCTGGAAATTAATTTCTGCGTAACATGTTGAATGATGCCTCAATACCTATAAGCACCACGTGGACAGAGGAGGAAGCGAGTATGCACAGGGTGTATCCTTTGCACATTAACTTTAAATATATAAAATAGTCTTACAGCTTGAATTCGGGAGAACTATGCCAACAGCTACTTTATCATAATCTATAAGTTGTTTTGGTTGTTAAGATGATCAACTGCCCTTAAACTTTGGCCTTCATTTTGTGTGTGAGAGAAATTATTGGGTCTTTTGTAAGATGGTACTACACTGAGAATTTAATTAAAAGTCGCCCTTAAAATAAAGCATATCATCAGTTCAGTTATGCCAAAGAACACAAAATGCAGAGAAACAATGCAGTAGTTTTAATGCAGCTGTGCCATTCATCTTTTGACATAATTTAGCTGCAACAAAAGGATGGCATTAATTCCTGTTAACTCTGCCTGTTTCTTATGTCTTCTTTGCACCTTCCAAACCTCGAGGAGAGGGACAAGTTACAAGGAAAGAAATCGAGGATGTACAGACTGAGAAAGAGGAAAACAGTTTGAACTAAAAGCACTCACTTGGCCGGACCTGTCTTTATTTGGGGACATAGAATGTTTGTCCACTGTTTGTAAACTACTGCTGGTTTTAGCCTGATATAAACTCAATAGCCACTTTGTTAGATATACCTGTTCAGCTTCTCAGTGGAAGACAGGGCTCTGTTGTCCTGTTCTAGAAAACCAAAAAAACGCATTGGTTTGGGTACGTGGATGACACCTGGGTGAAAATCAAATGTCAGGATGTACCACAATCACTGATCACATCAAAATAGATAAACATCAGGTTGAGCAGGGAGAATATGAAAAATGACAAGCTAGCTTTTCCAAAAGTATTGGTAATATTTAAAAGTGCAAGATGGTGCCATCTCTCGGTTCATTTTTAATTTCTATTTGCCAATTCGTCTGATTGGGACCTGATGAATGTAAAAACAAAGAATTACCAGATTTATTTTTTTTTACCTGATTTTTGTTCCTGAGAAAAATTAGATCCACATATGAGGACATTTATTTTAAATTTTGATAGAACAGTGGCAGTATAATGTCCTCGTAAGTGGGTACCAGGCCCAAAATGTGATGTCCACATAGGTGGATGCCAGGTCCTAGGAGGTTAATATCCGTGACTCAATGCTGATCCTCCCCTGCATTGCCAGCGATTTGGAAGACTCCCACCACCTCTGGTGTTCGTACCAGAGGAACTGCATCGACATGATCCACCTTGGAATCTTTCGAAACAGAAGGGCTGTAGAAGTGGTTAAAATACGTGGCATGTGTGTACGGGTTAGATCTTAGATGTGGTGGATCCTTGCCATCGGTGATCCTGCCTTTTTAGACCTTTTTCTGCCCTCAGACAGCGCTGCCAGGGGAGGAAGACAGGACAAAGATATACTGTGGAGGAGAGCCAGAGATAAATAATAACTAATAATCAAGTACAGAGCGGTGTATAAACAAATACATATCGAGTGAAAAAGGGGACTGAAGAAGAAACAGTGTATCATGGGAATCCCCCAGCAGCCTAGACCTATTGCGTAACTAAGGGTGGGTTTAGGGTCACCTGATCCAACCCTAACTATATGCTTCAGCAAAAAGGAAAGTTTAAAGGTAAATCTTAAAAGTAGAGAGGGTGTCTGTCTCCTAAACCCAAACTTGAAGCTGATACTACTACTACTACCTTCTAATGATACTACCTAAGAGAAGCACATATAATATAAACAGACCTAGTCCTGGGCGCCTACCATATAGATCAGAATGTAACGTTTGAATCTAATGATCCACTGGTGCAGAAATTGGGTGTCATCAGGACGCTATAACATAGAGCTAACAAAATTCCCACAGCGACAGCGGCCAGGGAAGTAGAAGAACATCATATCTGAGTAAGTGTAGTTATCCCAGCCAGACAAAGCTGGAAAGGTATCTAAGGAATGCTCCAGGAGAGAACAACAATCTAAACAAAAACTTTTAGTGATCCCTTATGTGCCAGGGGCATTGGAACAGAGACATAATTTTCTCAAAACACTGCATCTCTGTGGATTTCAAACCAAAAAACCTTTGGCTAAAGAGCACAATATAGAAGAGACTCTGCAGTCTAGTTAAACCTACAGACCAGTGGCAACTCTTTCAATGATGACAGGCAGGAAGCAGGCACTTTTTTCCAGAGTGGAGGCCATTTATTTAGGCCATTCATTTAGTCCAGGCCTTGTGCCTGACACTTTTCAGGGAAAAGGGTGGTTTTTTTTATTGTCAAAGCGTTTTTTGTACAACATCTCTCATTCACCCATTCATACAACAACTTTTTTTGTATGAAGGAAGTGCTTTCTATCATCTGTCTGTCTCACACATTCATATTCCGATTAATGCATCAGAGAGCTCAAGGAGCAGCCAGGGGTCAAATCATGAGTCTTCTGATTAGTAAATGACCTGCTGGCCTATGAATTACTCAAGCATAAAAAGGTACCCAATACAAGGAAATAATGTTGTTCATTATTTGGGTGCTAGGAAGTAGAGCAAGTCATCTACTAGTTCAGTCCTTGGCTGCTCCCAGTCTGAATGTCAAATATCCTTGGGCAAGATACTAACCCCAAGTTGCTCATCGAAGCATCCATCAGATTAATAATGTGTGTGAATATTAGATAGGAAGCACTAAGAGCTAGCATAGAAATAAAGAAGCATACAGAAAAAGTGCTTGGGTGAATGGAGCATGTTGTATAAAAATGCTTTGGGTGCTCAGGTAGAATAATAAAATGTTATATAAGAACAAGTCTATTTACCAAAATTAGTTCTAGAAATGCAGGAAAATCCTGTTAACTCATGCTCTATTACAGGTACAGCTGCTCTCTTACCATTACTACCAGATAAATTTGCATCTGTTAAATTGCACAAAACACTTTTACCACTACTGCACCTGATTTCCCAGTCTCGAGGTCAGCCACCTCCATTTCCAACTCTACAAGGTACACACAGGCAGCTCTCAAAAGTTAGACATTTTCTGCTCCATTGAAACTTAAAGGACTGTTGCGAATTGGAATTGCTTGTGGAATTTTGTCCACCCAATACCAAATTTTTGAACGTTCTAAGGTGCTGGTGAGTAAATAGCAGTGGTTTACAAGAATAGCTTAAACTGTCTTACTCTTTACTGTACTACTACCCTTCAAAATTCAGTGGGAATAGCTAGTTTGCTGTATGGTAACCAATCTACCAACCTCAAATTCTGCAAGGATTTTCTGAATGAATTCTCGTGAATAACATTAATCTAGACCAGGGGTAGGCAACTCCTCAAGTGCTGGTGTCCTGCAGGTTTTAGATCTCACCCATGAGATCACACCAGAATCAAATGATTAGTTCATTACCAGGTCTCTGGAGAACTTCAAGACGTGTTGAGGAGGTAATTTAGCAATTTAAATCAGCTGTGTTGGATCAAGGACACATCTAAAACCTGCAGGACACCGGCCCTCCAGGCCTGGAGTTGCCCATGTCATGGTCCTGGGCCATGTGGGCCCAGTATTCTTAGGTTTC